GGCCCCGCCCCATGTGCCCTGCCCCAGCTCTGGAGCGCAGGGGGCGTCTGGGCGCGCCCCTTCCCCGGCTGGGAGGGTCCCCGCTACGCTTCCACCTCCTTGGGAAACTTTGCTTTTCCAGCTCTGTCCCTGCGGGAGAGCTGTAGGGACGCTGGATCCCTTTCCTTCCTTCAAAAGTGCCCTGAAAAGCACGCAGACAGCTATGCCGGGAAGGGGTCGCTCAAGTTCAGCAAGAGTTTGCGATTTGCCTAAGGCGCGTTGAACAGTTTTCTCTTAACCCATTTGTGGGAGTGTAATCTGATTTAAAACCAATGGACTAAACAAACAGAAGCACTTTCTAGAAAGTCAATTTGGAAATGTGGATCAAAATTCAAGTGAATTAGCTTTGGGCCAGGAGTTCCATGTCTGTGAATGTGTCCTAAGTAAACAGTCAAATAAGCAATTATGTTTACTGTAGTTGTTGATGCCAGGGGAACCCAGAAACAACCTGCCCCACAATAAAGGGTTAGTGAAGTAAACCATAGTAATGTCACTGTAGCCATTAAAAATTATGTCTGTGCATCCAATTCGTTGACATGAAAAGAAGGCCATAGCCAAATATTAAGTGGAGGGCAAGGGAAGAATGCATGTATATTTATATGTATGTATATTTTATATGTCAGAAATAATAGTTTTGTAAAAGCAGTGATTCTCCCTGAGCTCCGCAGTTGTGTTAGCAAAGTGTTTCAGGTGTGACAGGTGTCCTTTGGTGCCCCCCACACACAGACACCCTTGCCTGTGGACAGCCTGAACCTTTGCCGCACCTGCCTCTCTCTGCTGTGGCAATGGCCCAATCAGACATTCCCTTTTATAGGGCTGGCTTCCTTTTCTCCTTTGCCCAAACCACACCTTTCCAACAAAAGAATATTAACCAAGCAATCCTAACAACAAGTTTTGTTGCCGACTGCAACTTATGCCCTTTTACACAAATGTTGTTGCTTTCAAGCCTACCAGGTTGTATTTCAAAACTTTTATTTTTCTGCAACTTGACCATTTTTTATTCACTTAAAACATTCTGGAGTATTTTAAATACATATTGAAAAGTAGAGAATAATATAACAAATACTTATCTATACTAATATGCTAATTAGCCCAGACATCTTCTGGACATCCTTCCGGAAAAAGCCATGGTGGCGGTGGCCAAGGCAGAGGCGGTTAGGGGTGAGCAGACTGGCAGGGGAGAGTAGTTAGGAGCGACCAGGCCAGCAGGGGAGGGCAGTGAGGGGCGACCAGGTCGGCAGGGGAGGGAAGTTAGAGGTGACCAGGCTGACAGGGGAGGACAGTTAGGGGTGACCAGGCAGGCAGATAGGTGAGCGGGTAGGAGCCAGCAGTCACGGATTATAAGAGGGATGTCCGACTGCCAGTTTAGGCCTGATCCCAGCAGTTGGACATCCCTTGAGGGGTCCCAGAATGGAGAGGGTGCAGGCTGGGTTGAGGGACCCCCCCTGCCTGCCTGCCCCATGCATGGATTTCGTGCACCGGGCCACTAGTTTATTAATAAATGAATTAATATAAGATATACTTATTTTATTGGGGTACCCTCTTCCCCACTGGGTGCTGAGGGTGGGGTTCTTATGATATCTCAAGAAAAAGACTTCTGAGACTCACACGGGAGGAGGAGTACTTTTTGTTTGTGTGGAATTACTAGTATTTTTCTGTGTTTCTAAAGTCCCATTTCCCTTAATCCAATTTAAAAGAACTGTACCTGGGGTTTCAGTAGAGCTAGAAGCAAAGCCAGTGTCCAGAGTTTCTGTTCCATGTTGCAGCCAGGTCCGGTTCAGCATCAGGCTAGTCCATTAGTCCATTGAGCGTGTATGTGTGGGAGTGGAGGGGGGGGGGCAGTCACATGGCCATGGCCTTGTAGACGAATTCAGGGGAGCAGGAGTTGGGCTCAGAATTCAGGGGAGAGAGCCCCACAAACCAGGAGTTAAGCACAACATACCAATAGCACAAGAGAGCAAACTCCTTTCGAGGATTAAATATCCCAAATCTCATGCCCTTGCAGTGGCCATGCCCATTTTGGCCAATGACCTGTTCCCAGGTGTGACTGACAGACAAATATCTTCTTGTGGGCATCCCAGCTTTACTGGGCATGCCTATAAAATGGCTGGCCTCCCCCTTTACTCCTTTCCTATTTATCTCTACATATAAAACCCAATATACAAATAGACCGAACAGCGGAACAACAGAACAACCAAACAGCCGCTATGACGTGTGCTGACTACCAGGGGGCACGCATGGAACATGGCGGGCATTGGCAGCAGGCAGCAGAGTGCAGAACATGGCAGGCATTGGCCGTGGCGGGATGGTGGAGCAGGTGAGCGGGGGCTCCAGACCAAGGTGTGGAACTGGCCGCTGTCGTTGGGCGAGCCTTTGGTGGTTACTGAAAATTCTTTGCTCCGGCGCACCGTGGTCCTGCTGGGTGCTTGCACCTGCTGCCGGAGCCGGCCCCGCTCACAACCGTTGCCGGTGCTGCAGCTACCGCTCGCGCCTGCTCCTGGGGCCCAGCACCAGGCCCAATTGCTCGGTGCTGTCAGTGGGTGCAAGTGGAGGCTGCTGGTCCCGGTCACCCCTCAGGGCTTTTCCACCTCCCCCTGCTCCTGGGGGGCAATTGGGGCCAGCAGCCATCTCTTGCACCTGCTGCTGGCAACAGCCCCACTTGCACCCACTTCTGACACCGGCCCCACTCACACCCACTGCCGGCACCCGGCCCCAGTCCCGATTGTTTTCCCTACCCATCTCCTCCCCCCAGGCACATTACCTTTATCTTCCTCACTCCTAAGCTCCAAGGGCCCTTTCTTTGCTTCTGTAACTTGTTTCCTGAGCCCATTTCTTCATCTCCGTGACTTTTTAAATAAACTTACTCTTATAATTTAAAAAAATACATGATACATATGGCAGAGATTGTAATTCATAAGAGGTTTATTATGCATAGTTGATTATTCGCAAGCAAAAGTATCCAAATGGCTTGAGTAGAAGAAATCTATTGGCCTGAGTAATTGAATCACCATATCATTTAGTCAAGTGATGTGGCCAGACCCTGGCAACAGGAGAAATGAAAATTGTATGAAATATCAAAGTACTGGAAATACATCTTCATTTCCATGTGAATAAAGGCAGGAAGGAAGAACCATAAAGTATCAACAGTCACTGCTTCTGTATAGGAGCTTTGAAAGATATTTTGGAGTGTTCTGATTTTTCTACATAGGTATGTATCAGAATTGACATTAAAATATTTGTAATAGCATTTAAAAAATTCATCATTATTCAAGAGGCTAGAAGTATATCTTCACACTTTAAGTATTATGAAAACAAAATAGGAATGACTAAATAAAAGGCATTCTACCTGGATTCAGGCAAGTATGAAGGGCTCACTAGATGGAGTCTCCATCCCCCAACCCTGTGTGAAATAGATGACTATCCCTCCACTCGCTGTCAGGGTCTATCACATTATACTGTTCATTCTATATATATATATAATTGATTTCAGAGAGGAAGGGAGAGGGAGAGAGAGACAAAAGCATCAGTGATGGGAGAGAATCACTGATCAGCTGCCTCCTGCATGCCCCACACTGGGGATCGAGCCTGTAACCCAGGCACGTGCCCTTGACCAGAATTGAACCCAGCACCCTTCAGTAGATGTTCTATCCACTGAGCCAAACCAGCTAGGGCCACTGTTTATTCTTTTCATAGAATTCTCAACTGTCAAAGTAAGTGTTTTTCTTCCCCTCTAAAATAATAATCTATCAGAGAAGGGACCTAACTTATCTCTTCTTTTTCTTTATCCCCAACACCTAAAATAGTGCCTAGAATTCCACATAAATGTTTGGTGGATGAGTGAATGTGAATGTCAGTGAAAAAAACACCACATAGGTAGTCATGGCCATCCCCCTTTGACACTGCTGGACTGACTGTATGTATTTTGGCTGTGGCTGACGTGTGTGTGTGTGTGTGTGTGTGTGTGTGTGTGTGATGTGTGTATACATATGTGTAAGTGTGTGTTTGTTGGAAGTAACGTTGCCATCGGAGAAAGGAAGAAAGTGATACCATATTTGTTATTATAGAAGGTACTAGAAAATCAAGGGTAGCTGTAGACATTTTGTCATGGCAGTGTATGGTAGTTAAAATCAGGGAGTTGAAAATGGACGTCTTAATTCTCTTAATAAACCTCTTATTATTCTTCAGTATTCTTTTTGTTGTTGTTGTTAATCCTCATCCCAGGATATTTTTTCTATTGATTTCTATAGAGAATGGAAAGGTGGGAGGGAGAGTGAGAGAAACACCAATGTGAGAGGGACACATCAATTGGTTGCCACTGTCTGCACCCCAACTGGGATCGGGGATCGAACATGAAACCCAGGTGCGTGCCTTTGACCATAAATCAAACCCACAACCCTTCAGTGCTCGGGCCAATGCTCTAACCACTGAACCACGGCAGCCAGGGCTATTCTTCAGTATTTTTAAGTATAGAAACTGTCACTTTATAAAATACTAGAGGCCCGGTGCATGAAATTCATGCACGGGTATGGTCCCTAGGCCTGTACAACGATTGAAGTGTGAGCGTCTGGCACAGAAGGGCAGGTCCCAGCTGACCTCTGGGCCCTGGGCAGCATCTGGGCATCCATGCCCCTGCGCGCCCCCCTCTGCCTGAGTCACGGTGCCCAAGTCTCCACGCGGAGATGTGGTGAGCACGTCTGGACGCTGCAGGCCAGGGTGCAGCGTGGACCTCTGGGCCGCCCAGCGGCGCCACATGGAAGCCGGGCGGGCAGCGTGCTCTCTCCCAGCTGGCCTCATAGACTGGCTCCTGTGCAAACCCACAGGGAACCTGACCGGCGGCTGCGGCTCAGCTCACTCAGAAGAGGCTGTGCAGGTTCAGGGCGGGCTCCTCATGGGCGCCCGGCACCTGAGCGCATGGGCTTCCCCGGTGCATGAGCCCTAGCATCCCGGGGAAGGGTAGCAGGGGGAGTGAGAGCGAGCTTGGCAGACACCCCACATTCTCACCACACCTCCATCCCCGTCACTTCCAGGTAGCAGGCAAGAGGGCACAGCACATCGCTGACTGTCGCCCCCCTGGTGGTCAGCGCACATCATAGCGAGTGGTCGAACTCCTGGTCTCTCAGTAAAACGACCATGTGCGGGGACAGTTTGCATATTAGGCTTTTATTATATAGGATTGCTTTGAAAAGTCTCTCAAAATACTTTGTATGCATTGTCTTACCCAAGCCTCTGAGGCTGTACATTGTTTTAAAATATTTTTTTATCAAAGTTCTTAATTTTCTTATTTTTCTAGGTTTTTTCTAATGAGCAGAGACCACAGTTACTTTGTTCTTGTTGTAATTAGCAGGAAACGCAGGTCATGTTGTAGTATTATACAGTGTTAAACAATTAGTTAAACTCTGAAAGAATGTCTTTTATTCTGCTCCCCTTCAGAACTGCACTTAATTTCTTAATTTTTAGACGTTCTGTAAAGGTCACTTTGTGTGTATTCATGAGCCGTATTTGTTTTTTAAATGTATTTAATGTGTTTTCCCCTTCATATGTTTTTTAAAAAATATGTTTTTTATTGATTTCAGAGAGAGAACAGGAGAGGGAGAGAGAGGTAGAAGAAAGAATCGTCAATTGGCTGCCTCCTCTGCACACCCCGCTCCTGGGGATTGAGCCCACCATCCAGCTTTGTGCCCTGACTGGGAATTGAATGGTGACCTCCTGACTCAGGGACCAATGCTCAGTCACTGAGCTACACTAGGCTTTCCCTCATTACATGTTAATCTATCCTCTATGTAGGGAATACAGGAAGGTATAAAGAAAAACTAAAAATTACTAATGAACATTCTGAAACATTAGTCATTTCCTTTTTTGTAATACACAAGATGTATGTGTGTACATATCTATACTAATAAAAGGGTAATATGCTAATTAGACCAGGAGACCTTCCAGATGTCCTTCCAGACAAAGCCATGGTGGCAGGGCCAAGGCAGAGGTGGTTAGGGGAGAGCAGGCCTGC